GAACGGAGTACGACATTGGATGTTCGGAATGAAAAGTAGCGACGAAACGTCAAAATGCCCCCACACTCACACCCACCCATACCCAAGATACTTGTGTCAAATACTAACAGTTTATTTAGTAGATAATGAATTTAAATTGATATTGTGATTCAAATACACTGATAATTTCATCTCACAGAGAAATAAGCTTCTTCACAATTGAGCTCTTATTAATGTCACCGAACATTAAAACAACAATACGAAAATGATTACGTCTAGATAAATGTTTATTAGCATGAACAATTTCAACAAAGCTCTTTATTAATTTTGTTGTAATATAAATCTCTTTTTATCACGATAGAAAAAGCTATCAATAATTGTAAAAGATTACTATATCAAATATGTTGAACGAGAATAAGAGGAAGAAATATTATCATTCGTTCGCCCGTTTCTTTCATTGATTGAGACGATGCAAAAATTATATCACTATTCTCTCCGACGACATCGGTCAAATAGAAGATATGACTATATATATATATATAGAGAGAGAGAGAGAGAGAGTGAATTACAAGCTACAGAAGAATATACAAGTGTAGCAAAACATGGAATGTTTATATCTTCAATTGAATGATTTACCCGATGAAATTCTTTTGATTATTTTTAAAAAACTAAATAATATTGCACAACTTTATTCTTTATTTGGCATTAGTAAACGATTAAATAAAATTTTGCATGATCCAAATTTTACAAGTCATTTAGATTTACTGACATTTTGGCTGAATGATTGTATTTATCGATTACCTTCTCCAATACTTGATAGATTTTGTTTACAAATTTTACCTGAAATTCATAATAATATCAAATGGCTTAATGTTGAATCATCATCAATGACACGTATTCTTCTTTCTACAAATTATCCTAATTTATATGGACTTGGTTTATATAATCTTGAAAAAGGAATGACAAAACATCTTATTTCTAGTAAGATATTTTATTTTGATTATCGTTAATTCTAGAACAAATAAAAAGTATATTAAAATCAGTAACACTGTACATCGTCTTAGGCCCCGAACAAGATAAAACTGAATTAACCAATGAGACGATTAGAAACGATAAAACAGAAATAAGTCATCTTTTCGAGACGATTTATCTTAATTGAAATTTTAATGCGCCAATCATTCAATAGCATGATTGAACAATGAAAGATATATATAGATAGATTGGGAATAGATGTGATGTCGCTCAAAAAAATTAATTATTATAAAATAGCAGAGCTGGGCAAGTACGGACTTTTCGAGTACGAGTACGAGTACGAGTACCGACCCCTCGAGTACGCGTACAAGTACTGCGAAAATCGTGCTTAAGAACAAGAAATTTTGATACATTGAGAAAGTATGCAACTGTTTAGCAACATAATCGTTGAAAAGGATTGCGTGTAATTTTACATTAAATCAAGCGCGTAAGAAATCAGCTATTCTGTTCATCTTCAAAATTCAGAAGAATAAGAATACCCTGCTCTTCGGCTATCTTAGGTTATAGAGTGTCTGCAGGTGACAGTTTCGTAAGCCCGATATATTTCCTACAACCACTTAGTAATAACTGCAGCTCTCGGCAAAAGGCCGACTTGACTCGGATTTCTTTCAATCATTCACTTGAATTTTTCGCACAGACTGCCTAGCTAGATGTTAACCGCAATGATTGGTGTATGTCACAAGGTAGTTAGTATAGTATTGTGCGCTTGACTCGAGACAAGAAGCGGTGAAGAAGCACAGAAATAGGTACCTGGTACTTATCTGATATAATACTATTTATCTGAATATACGAAAGCGGATGAGAGCGCTTTTTGTCTTCTCAATGTTTAATTTTTTGTGTTGAAAGCAATAAAGCAGTGACAGTCGATAATATCGCAGATATTTATTTCAGAACATCTCGTAATCAGTTTTTCGAGTAGGGAATTGCAAAGTGAGTCCGGTACCGGTTCAGACGGGACCTAAAGCTTTTTAAGCTGCTTCCGGTGTATTTTCTATGAAGAACTAGACTATAGATTTTCATGCTTCTTGTTTGATGGCGACTAAGAATGCGTAGATTTGCCATTTATATTTATCATTCCGATACGAGTCTCTCATTGATCTTGATTCTGATTTCAACACCAGAGATTTTTCGATGATATGTATAGGTTTTTAAATAGGCGTACTCGTACAATATATACATATTTGGGTTGATAGAAATTCAACCATTCTTCTGATTGTACATTTTTTGTCCTTCTTTCACTGTTTCTAGTATAAACTCTTAAGTGTTGTTGGGATACTTCTCTATATTTCGAAATGGAACTTTATCACTATTTGGGAATACGAGCAAAAATGAAAAGTTTAGGCTTAATTTTGCTAGAAATCTTTTGTTCTTAAAAAAATTATCGGGATCAGAAGCAATAGAAAACTTTAACCAGACCTAGGACCGGAACCAATAAAAAATTTTGACCGGATCTAGGATCAAGACCTGGACAAGAAAAAATCTAACCAAGACCGAAACTGGGACCATCAAAACAAATTTAACTGGTAGCGAGATCAAAGAAAAGCGATTTTTCAGGGGTCTATTTTCGAGACGAAATCGTACTCTCCAAAGAGATGATCGAAAGCTATACCATTCTTCCGAGCGATACGCCTGCGACTTAAAAAAGGGATTGAGAGATATGCAGAATAAACTGTTGCAGCGGTATTAAAGGTCGCCACTGGATTAATCTCAACACTAAATGCTGAAATATTTTGGGATGAAGAAACAGCCGTGTCAATCCTCAACATTTAGAGTACTTCAAACGCAAGTACGTGTGAAAATACATGCACGAGTACGTGTACGAGTACTAACACTCTCGAGTACGAGTACCAGTACGAGTACCGACCCCTCGAGTACGAGTACCAACAAAATCGTACTCGAGTACAAGTACTTCGAGTATTTTTCTCAGCTCTAAAATAGTACTAGTTTCGTTTGATATTCAATAGATTCTGACTTTTCAAAGTGTTACCGATCTAACAAATAAAAATGTTTTTTTTTACAACTAAAAACTTCACTAAATTGATTTATTTTCGCTACATTATAGAGGATGTTCTCAATTTTCATTAGTGGATTATCTGTTGTGTGTGGACGTGCGCTGCCTTAAAACAAAAATTAAATCGCTCTATTTTTGGTCTGTTCGGGGCCTTATACTCTAATTTAGTCATAAGATATCGGTACTTCTTCAGATCGACAATACCCCTCTCTCGTGACCCGACAGTTGAGCTTCCGACAGATGAGCCCCGACAGTTGAGCCCCGACAAATGAGCCCTCGACAGTTGAGCCTACCGACAGTTGAGCCTACCGACAGTTGAGCTCCCGACAAATGAGCTCCCGACACTTGAGCCTCATATTAAAAAGAATTCAATAAAACCTGATGAATAATACGTCGTGGTGGATCATGCGATATTGTTGCACCAGAACTGATATTTGATTTGAATTCCACTGATATTGTTTCTTCAGGATTTGGTGCATGAAGATGATCCGTAACTTTAATATAACCTGTTCCATCAAAACGTACACGACCAGCACAGTCATTTCGACAACAACGCCAAATAATTTGAGATTTATTTGCACGACGATGACGATAACCACTAAGTAAAAGTTGATCCTTGTTTTTTGAAGATTTCACGATTGACATTGTTAATGATAATAGAAAAATATACCAAGAATGATAAAACCTTTATGAGTCACAGAAATATTGTTCGAAAAACTTGTTCATTTCTGTACAGATGATTGACTTAGCCACGAAAAATATATCGACGAGCCATCAGTACCATCGAAAGATGTCTCATGTTTCCGTGCACTATTTTCAAGTGAATTAAGCGATTCAATAATAATTTCATGTGTTCTATATTTAATCGATGAAATTTCAATTTTGTGAGGCTCAAATGTCGGGAGCTCATTTGTCGGGAGCTCAACTGTCGGTAGGCTCAACTGTCGAGGGCTCATTTGTCGGGGCTCAACTGTCGGGGCTCATCTGTCGGTGCACCCCCCTCTCTCATTGGTCGTATGACAAAGAGGAAAGGAATATATTCCTTTCCTCTTTATCATACGACCAATGAGAGAGGGGTGTGGTCGATCTGAAGAAGTACCAAAATATCAATATTTTATTTATATCAGAAATAAAATATTTATAATGACATCAGAATGCAAAGAAATAATCAATTTGAATATCTGAGTCACAATGACATCATTGATGATACTGAAGAGAGATGAAAGCTAAGAATCGATGTTAGACTGATTAATATTAAAAATGATTAGTATTTTTCATGATATTTTTGTATTTTATTCATATTTAGATGAAATACTTTTATTTCATACATTTAAAAATCAAATTTTATCACTTGTTATCCATATGAGTCGAGATGACAATCAAAGTATAACAGAAAATATAAACACAATTATATTTACAAATATCTTTAATATGTTCATCAATTTGCAGCATTTTAATTTTGTTTCGTCTTCAATTTGGTATCAAATGTTATCATTTGATTATTCATCTCCAGCTTTTTTCTCGTCAAATCTATTCGAATTACACGTCAGTTTGGATAATTCCATTGATTGTCTTTATTTACTTGATGGACGTCTCAATGAACTTCGTACACTTCATGTTAATATTACTCTAATCACTCGTTCAATTTTAGTCGATAATAAAGTTGGTTATTTTATTTAATACCTAATTTAAACGAGTCAATAATATTATTTTTTTAGGAAAAACTCCCTAATTTAAGACACTTTGTGCTATACTGTGATCTGGTTCTAAATGCATATGATGAATTCATTATACCACTTCTACATCGAATGTCAAATTTAGAAGAACTCAGTTTGAATTTTGCCATCCTTGGCAGAAAAAAAATTATTCATGGAAACAATTTGAAGGATATTATGGATCATATGGTACAATTAAAGAAATTTACATTTAATATTCATTCAACCATTGAACTTGATAATCAAATTGATTTGCCATCAAATGACAATATTCAAAACACATTCAAAAATTTTGAACATAATCAAATTATTTCTTGTATTGATTATTTTTCAGAGGTAGTAGAAGGTCAATGTCATATTTATTCATATCCATATCAATTGAAAAAGTATGATAAGATAACAAATAATTTTCCAGGTGGATTATTTGAATGTGTTCGTGAAATATCATTGTTTGATGAACGACCTTTTGAACATGAATTTTTTCTTCATATTGCTCAATCATTTCCATTAATGGAAAAATTAACTTTAGTTAATCGAAAACCACAAAAGAATAAACAATCTAGAAAATCAAAAGATGATGATCAAGATTTTTCAATTGTTAAATATCCTCATCTTAATGATCTCAATCTATATGAAGTTCATGATGATTATATTGAACAATTTCTAATGGATTCTAAAACATATTTACCATATCATGTGGAACTTGTTACTGATCATCGACTACTAGAAAACGTTACACACAATTTTAAAAGAGATACAACACGTATTAATTGTTCCAAAATAAATTATGTGTATAGTGATACTATTTCTTCACTTCCAAAACATATCAAAGATTATTTTTTTAATACTCGCCCAATTATATAATGATTGTTATTCTCAATTATTGTTTAAATAAAATTAATTTCTTGAAATATTTAATAATACAGCTGTTCAAGCTGTTTATAAAAACTTTTAAGTTTTTAGTAATTCGGAAAAATAGACAGTAGACTTGAGTTTTGCTGTTATATCGGTCATGTTTGGTAAGGGAAGAGAAAGTGATTGTAAATTCTCACTCTATAATTCATTAGTCCTTTTGAATAATGTTTTACAAAATCCTTTTAGTTAGAGACTATTCATTTTTGTAGTGAGAAAATTCTTATAAACGTAAGTTTTAAATAATTGTCTATCTAATCGCTAGTATCTTACATTCTGATATTGAAGAAAAGAAAATTTTGAAAGCATCGGTTTTATCTTGAAAGTAACAATTTATTTGAAAAGTTTTCAAGAAATGAAATTTATTACAAATTTAATGGTTTATTTATAGATCTTATCAATTTTGAGTCAGTTTCATTTGTTTGCTTTTAACAAGAAAATTATTCAACATTATAATCATACATTATATTAGCATGATTTACTATTTATCTAAACGAAATAAAATAATACAAATATTTCTGTAGTTAATTTATATGAACAAATAGTTTATTTAATTGATTGATGAAAATTTTGTTCAGAATAAACACAATCTAGGGGTGGTGGGTGTGGGGTGTGGGTGTGGGTGTGGGGTGTGGGTGTGGGGTGTGGGTGTGGGTGTGGGTGTGGGTGTCACTGCTTACTTTCTCGACACCCACACCCACCCACACCTCACGCACACGCACACCCACACCCACATCCACACCCGCACCCACACCCACATCCACACCCACACCCCAAACCTACACCCACACTCACACCCCACACTCACCCACACACCAGCCACCCACACCCACTCACAGTCACCCACAGCCACCCACACCCACACACCAGCCACCCACACCCACACACCAGCC